GCTGGAGCTGCCTCTTCCCAAAGGACTGAGCTCCATGGAAAGGGCTGAGCTGGTGAAGAAGTGGGACAGACCCACTTGGGAGGAGTTTGAGACCTGTCCCTCACTGGGGCAGGGGGTGAGTGTGAGGAGGAAGGAGCAGCGAGGACAGTGAACTCACTGCACCCCCATTCCCTGTCCCCCTGCCCCGTGACACCAGCAGACAGCTCACTCTTCCCAAAAAACACCCCCCACCTCCACGTGGGAGTTCTCAGTGCCCCTGCCAGCTTCCCCCATCTGCTCTAACTGCCTCTGCACCATAAGGGCTGTAATAGAATTGCATTTATGATCTGATTTATGATTGTTTGCCACCCCCCAGCAACATCTGCCCGACAGATGCCAGAGCTGAGGGGGATAAACAGGGCCAGATGGCAGCACTGACCTACAATCTCGATCAGCAGGGCAAGAGTGACCCCATCCCGCAGGTCCTGCCGCAGGTCCTGCACCGGCCTCACCGCCGGCTTCTTCTTCAGCTGGGCATTCACCCAGGCCACATAGGCCTGCAGCTGTTGCTGCAACAGAAAGCAAAATGTTTGCATGGCAGGGATGTCACTTTTCTCTCTGACCTTCGCAGCTCTCAGTGCTCTGCCCTGGGAAGCAAAGAGCAGAGCTCCCACCCCAGAGCCTGGCTGCCACCCCTGCCTGCCGTGGGGCAGCTCAGCCCTGCCAGGGTGGCAGGAGGGGGCAGGACGGGGCTCCTGGGCTGGCCAGAGAGGTTTTCATTCCCTCTGCACCGAGTCACACCAGCGCTGCCACCTCCTCGCTCTGGGGCCGCAGGATGCTCACTCTGTGCCCCAAAGCCAGAGTGCAGGAGCAGGGAACCCTGAGGGATTGCCTTTTGGAAATGCAGGGGAGCCCAGGGGGAGGAAATGATGTCTGACTCCAGCTCAGAAGGCTGAATGATTTATTATAACTATGCTATAACACATCAATATACTATTTAAAGGAGATACTAAAACTACAAACCTACTTTTGCTAACTCCCATATTGGTTGGATTTCCCACCAGGCTCAAACAATCCTCACCAGAATCCAACCAAGCATCACCCCAGGTAAACAATTCTCCACACACATCCCACATGGGAAAAACAAGGAGCAGAAATTGAAATTGTTTTCTCTTTTTTCTTTCTGTGCTCCTCAATGAAAAAGTCCTGAGAGAGAGAAGAATGTGCCTGCCACAATTGCCCATTTAACAATTCCAGGACAAGCAGGGGAGGTTTCCTGGAAGAGACAAGAGCCTCCCTCTGTAACACTCCCAGTGTGGCTCATTTGGAACATTTGTACAGCCCCTCCACCTCCTGGGAGCTGCCTCAGCACTTCCAGTGGCCCAGTTTCTATTCCTGCATGCAGGGAAGCTGCCTCGGGCCCTGGGAGCCAGGAGCAGGGCCTGGCCAGCAGCTCAGGAGGGATGCTGTGTGTGGGAGAGACCAGGGAAACTCAAACTCAGGTTACAGTCAGTGTGAGAGACCAGGGAAACTCAAACTCAAGTTCTGGTCAGTGTAAGAGATCAGGGAAACTCAAATTCAGGTTACGGTCAGTGTGAGAGACATGGGAAACTCAAACTCAGACCAGGAAAATGCAAACTCAGGCTCCTGGTCAGTGTGAGAGACCAGAGAAACTCAAATTCAGGTTCTGGTAAGTGTGAGAGACATGGGAAACTCAAACTCAGACTGGGGAAACTCAAACTCATGTTCTGGTCAGTCAGAGATACCAGGGAAACCCAAATTCAGGTTCTGGTCAGTCTCAGAGACCAGAGAAACTCAAATTCGGGCTCCTGGGCAATTTGAGAGACCAAGGAAACTCAAATTCAGGTTCTGGTCAGTGTGAGAGACCAAGGAAATTCAAATTCAGGTTCTGGGCAGTGTGAGAGACCAGAGAAACTCAAACTCAGAGCAGGAGAACTCAAACTCAGAGCAGGAGAACTCAGACTAGGGAAGCTCAAACTCAGACCCTGGCCACCCTGAGGACCCATCTGGCCCAAATGACCCCAAGACAAAGAGCAGATCCCTGTGAGCTTTCCCTTTGCACCCCCTCCCTGTGACCCTTCCCGGGCTGCTGCAGAGGCTGCAATCCCCTGGGGCAGGGCTGCAGTGGGACACGGAGGGTAAGCAAACTGATCCATTGATGGGATTACCTCCCTTTTCACTAAGCTTCCCATTATTGTGCCCATGCAGCAGGTTTTAAGCCCCCATTCCATATGATCTCAGCAGTGCCAGGCAGAGCTGATGCTTTTACAAAGTCACAGGCTGGTCCCAGCCTGGCTCTTCATGACCCTGAGAGAGGAAATCCAGCTTGAATCGCTCATGGCTCGGTCTGCTGGCTCAGAAAGGTGCCTGGACCTGTGGGAGGCAGCTCTGCTCACTCAGCAGAGCCCGGGGAGCTCACAGGGCTCAGGGGCTGCCCCGCTGGCTCTGGGAGAAAAGGCAGCAGAAATGTCAGATCTGATCCCTCTTTGCTGCAGCAGACCTGGGGAGCTGCTTCTGCTGCAGTGGCAGCAATGCCCAGCCCCACAAGTCTTTATTTTGGACTTCTTCTTGGTCAGGGGTCTTGTGTGGTGGAAAAGTCTCTCCTCCAACCCGAGCTTCCAAAGAAAACTCAGCAG